ACTTGTAGATTATATAATAATTTATATATACATATATATATATATATGCATCTAAACATATATATGTATATATATACATACATACATACACAAATACTTAATGAGTTGAGCTGATGATATGATATAAAAAGAAAAGTAAACGAAAACGGAAAGAAAATAGAATGTAAAATGCTAGAGAGAGAGTGAAATTTGCTAAAGAAAAGAAGTACCGTTACGGCAAATGAAATTTTTATTTGTATAAAAAAGTCGTAACTATTTAGAGAAACATAAATTGGAAAAAGCAGTGAGCAGCAGTTGGCAGAATTGGTGTTGGTGGCTTTGAAGATTTTTTCGATATTTGATTAATCAATTATTTAGAAAAAAATGTGATTTTTTCATGCTTTTACAGTTATGCTGAGCGAGAGATACTAGTTATTTGCATGAACCAAAAATACAAGATCACCTAATCAAAGAAGCAAGAAAAAAGTATATTTCTGAGTGTTTTTGACATCTGCCTAAGAATGAAAACAAACAAAGAAAACGAAAAAGGCGCGGTGATTGAGTGCGATTAAATTGGTATTTATTATAAAATATACAAAGTGAAACTTGATGACAATTAGCAAAAAAAGTTCATAAAATATGGTTTTCATGATTGAAAGTGTTTTACAATCGCATATCATTACCACGGGTCGATTTTTCAATGCCAACGTTCTGGCCACAAACGTGCACCCACTTTTCACGCAAATTTACGCCTTTTGGCAAACCAAACATACGCACAAACTTGTTCCGATCACACAGCACTTTATTTTATATCATAAATATGTAATAAACCAAAATTTATAATTAAAATCGCTGCAGAAAACACATTCAATCGCTAAAAAATCACTACGAAGAGGTAGAAGACGATGTAAACAAACCCGAAAAACGTCAAAAACGCTACGAAAACTTTTTTCTGAAAATCGATTACAAATACAACGATGGCTGATTAGGTGATCTGTAGTCGTTGGTTCATGAGTTATTTGTTTGGTTTTATATCTTTTTAAGGGAAAAACAAAAAAAAAAAAAATATAAATAAAGCAAACACTTTGATATTTTTTGGCAGAAAATAATCGGTAGTTTATGTTTGCTTTTCAGATTTACTTTGGAAAATTCTGGTATTTTTTCGGGATGCATCGATTTTACTTTTCGGGATTCTTAGT